AGCCTGAAGATCCCATCCATGAAGCATTTCCTTTACATTGGCGTAATCTGTCACTAGATCGGTTAAAAAAATAATGAAATACATCCATCAGATAGCTTGACGCTATGTCGAAGAATGTTACAGAGAAAGAACGAGACTATACGTTCCATTTCTGAATAAATGAAAATCTAAAAAAGAAAAATTATTTCAAAATCATTATCAGCTGTAAAAAATCAATTGATTTGTCTGGCAACCACTTGAAGGTTTTATTTTGATGTCAGTATGACCACCAAGATCATCTCAGCCTAGAAAAATATCCACTTCTGTTTCAAAAGTCTTCTTAGGATTTGTACTGCATTTATTCAAATGTCCCTTGGAAGGGACATTCGGCTCTTAAGGGTTAAAGTCATAATTTCTGAATTACGATATACGATTATAAAATTAATCTAATATTAATTCGGTGCTTCAAAAGCCATTCTTATAGTGGGATATTATGACAGAATGTTATTGTTGCTCTTTTATTTCAGAATAAGGAAAATCTAATATCTAGTACACAATTCTTGTTCTAATAAGAGTCAATTTCTGGTGGTTTCGGGCAGGTTCCCGTAACTTTCTGAGATTTAATTTCCGAATAGGTTTTTTTGTTAGGCATATTATTAATAAGAAAATCTGAAAGGATGAACTTTGTCGGACCTTTCCTTAACAGATTATAGCCAAAATAAAGTATCGTTCTCTTTTGGGGTCTCAGATAGAATCCATTAGAAAAAATTTATTTTTCAACAACCATATGTCTGTTAAATGATCTTTTCATATGGATCGATAGAGAAGAGAGTGCACTATCCGACTATGACTATTAGAATGTTTCAGCTCTTAATTTAGAAGCATCAGTAAGAGCATCGCTCCTACAAAAAGACTGAAGGTTTTTTTGCGCGCAGCAACAGTAGGAGTCTAAACCAAGTATATGGTAATAATCTTCAATGTTCACTCTACTAAAAACCGTTTTCAGAAGTAGGGTAAATTTAAAATGTTTAAAAGAAACCGCTTCTAATGTTTTTCAGTGCCTTTTTGGACCGTTACTGTAATTATTTTAGTTAGTATTTATTTACGTAAAGGAAGTTAGCAGCAGATTTCTATATTTTCCTCTAACATTTTTTATTAAAGCTGTGCCATCTTTGGAAATAAGTGTGTCAGATAGAATTCGATGAGTTCTATCCAATGGCAAAATCAGTTTTCCAGAATATTGTATATTTTGCTTTTAAAATGATGAGATTTGACTATTCTTTAAGAGCAGTCGGGAAAAAGTCCGATTTTATGATAAAACTTTTGTCAGAAATGATTTCATGCAAACTTTATTTGAATAGTTGACATACGAACAACGCTTTTACGATTAAAAGAAATGTCGAGAAAACAATGTCAAAAAAGAAGATTAACAAACGAGGGTTTATTTCACCTCGCAGGAAACATAACTCAACTTTTTCCTTATAAGCTTTTGATAGAGCTTAGCTTCAACTTTTCTAACGAATAGTGATTTTATCCCATTGTCAAAATTTCACTTTTTGATCAATAACTTGTATTTTAAGGAAACAACATTCTGGAAAACTGAAAGATGGCACAGCTTTAATAAAAAACGTGAGATGAAAATGTAGAAATCTGCTGCTAACTTCCCTTACGTTATTTATTTTTACAAAGAATAATTACAAAATTCGTGATCTACGAATAAAATTACGTTACATCATATAAGTTTACTAATTATAATCCTTAAGTGTATTGATCAACATCTAGAGAAATGGCTAGCGACTGATCTTCAGTACTGAAAAGGCTTAATCTATATGATACCTACCACCATTACATTCGCTGTTTTCAAGCATATTTCACCTAACTTGTAAATGCTGCCGAGGCCACATTCCCTAACGTAGAACCTTGAGTCTAGCCTCAAATGAAAGATCGCGACGACTTCTATTCAAGTCTTTAAGGGAAATTGAGGTGCCACCTCAGCATCTTGAGACAGAGACTTTTAAAAGTCTCCGTTTTCTAAAACACCTGACGAATTTCATAGTCGTTCTAGGATTTTTTCAGCCATGCCATTCGATAGTTCGTTCAATTCTCTACAAAATCAGATATTAATCAAGTTTTCACAATGTTAGATGTCCAAGTTACAACTCTTAGTACCATATCACAGTCGAGAATTTTCACACTATTGCTAAATTTTCAGCTGCTTGAGTATTTTCCAAGCTATTTCTTAATGGAACATTGTGGAAACTTGGTTAATATCGCATTTTGTAGAGAATTGTACTAGCTGTCGAACGGTATAACCAAAACAATCCTAGAACGGCTTTGAAATCCGTCAGGTTTTCTAGAAACACGAGTTTTTACAAGTCTCTATCTCACGATTCTGAGGTGGTACCTCAATTTTCATTAAAGATTTGGATAGAATTATAAGACCTCTTGCAGTTTCTAGCTTCTTCTGACTCGATTTACTACTTTGTTGCGAGTTTACATGTCAACTATTACAACATTTCGAGTAAGATATTTAAAGTATTTTAGATTTAATTTTGTTTATTCATTTATTATATCTTCCTTAGAGGGATGGCAAAATATATACATCTAGTATAAAATCGATGCATCTAGATGTAAAGATGGAAAGGACTCACTCTCAAATTCTCCCCCTGTAACGGCTCATCGCCATTACATTATTCCCCATGCTTGATCTTATCACAGTTTCTAGAAATTCTTAAAACTTCGCAGTTTCGCGGGTTTTATTAAGAGAAATAATAGAAGAAAGAAATTATGTATTAAATTAATTTAATACAAGTCGTTTCCGGAGAACTAAACGAAAAACAAGTCATAATTGAAAGTAAATTTCGATTCTTTTATCATTCTTGTCAATTTTCTACCTCAAATTCAGATCTCTTCTTGTTAACTTTTAACTTCAAGTTAACGTCTCTCTCTCATTCTTCTCAACTTTCAAATTCAAATTCAAATAACTTCTTCTTCTCTCACATTCAGAGAAGGAGGAGCTCAGTTCTGCATTACATCTTCTTATCTCATTCAAGTTAAATAATTTCTCTTATTTACAAAATATAATTTAGTATTTTCGTTCTAACTGTGCTTCTTATACTGCAATAATTTCCGTTTGCACATTCTCTTCTTCACTTCATCTCCTCACCAACATTAGCAACTGTGCAACAACATTTGATTATCAACATTCAATCGTTACTGTTCTCCATTAATTGAAGAAGAACAGATTTTCATTACTGCTAAAATTATTTGTATTAGTAATTCGTTGGTAATAAATTGTTGATTTGTAGAGATTCTGAACTGGGATTGTTTTGGGAGTTGGAATAGACAGGGACTTAGACAACGCACTCACAATTGGAGGTTCTAGCCAGATTTCTGGTACAGCATATATTTTGCACAACCAGACCTACAACAACAACGTCGCCCACATTATTATTACCAGCATTTACGAATACATTAATTAACATTCGTTATAACATTAATTATATATTATTCATTTAAGAACTTAATTTCTTTTGGATGTTTGCAATTACTTGGATAACGTTCATTCTCGACAGTTACAAATTTCTCGGGTAAGATCTAGCCAAGTTGTTTCAGAGATTGTGGTGTGTCGGTAAGCCTGCTGGGAAAATTTCCCTCCGAGAATTTGATATGTTGCAGGAAATCTCCTTACATAAAGATAGAAAGATCGGCGAGGGAAGGCCTAGCTATTCCAATGACGGGGATGTATTATCGTTGGAACGCGATGTACCAGCTACACCATCAAAACAAAGAACTAGAGCGCGACCAATCCCTTTTTTAGCATCAGTTTCTTCTCGTCGTACATCTATCAGAACTACAGCTTCTAAAGCCAGATCACCTTTTTCCGTTTCTAATGGCGTAATAGAAACGATTAATGGCTTAATGATGGAAGCTATGAGTAGAATGGCGAAAGCCCAGAGGATTCAGGCAGAAACCATGAAGAGTGAGCAACAAATTCGGGCTGACGCATTGATTCGAATCATCAATCAGCAGAAAGATGTAGCTCAGACGTTAAGGCCAGTTTCTACCGATATGGCTTTGATAGAGGTTGTAGTGTCTGCTGTTCAACGCGTTTCAAATGCTTCTCTGCGTGCTAAGCCATCACATTCTTCTACTTCTGATATTTCATGCCAAGCCAAATCGGTATCGCTGTAGTGAGAAGAGTGAACTTAAAGGTTCAAAGTATAAAAATGGGATTGTCCGTATAAAAAAAAGGTTTATCATGAAGTTTTGGTTCACCCTTGGCACATTTTACGAGAAACGTAATTTCAAGCCCCACCACCATGGTGACGCCACGTGTAAGTACTCCAAAATTAACGTCTTCTGATGAACAACAAAACTCCATGGTAACCCTTTATGCTCCAATTTTATGCTTTGAAACTTTAAGTCACTAGGGTCGTATGGTTTATATGCATTAAAATAGGCTTTTAATAACAAAATACTTTTTAAATATGATATACCATTATACCATCATAGACACAATATAATGAAATTTTTTCATTTGTTTTACGTTGATGATGATTCGACTCCAGAATCTTCAATATACTATTTAAGGCTGTTGACAAACAACCTTAATAATAATCAGGAATGTTGGGTTGTATAGTGCTACAGTAATCAGCAGTATAAACATCAGTATGACAAAGAATCATATCTTGAAGCAGAAAGAGAATAGAGTTCTTTTAACTTTTCTTTATTAGGCTAACTTCTCGCGAAGCTCAAACAATAGCAATACAAATATGGACAGGCTATTGTCCATGTATCATATGAAAATCGCACACTTTCTTCTACGATACCAGAATGCTGTGAACAATAGTAGCCTCGATCTTTTGTCATCTGTTTTATAAAGTATAGATAAAATATCACAAATATCACATTTTTCTCTCTGTAATTAAACTCCCGACAAAAAACGCTTTGATCCTGTGAACGAAGTCAAATTACCTATCGCTGTTGTGCTATACCGAGATAACGGTAATGTAGACGAGTTTGCGTGTTTTAACATAGCGTCAGCCATTATCTGTTGATCCGGTGTCAAGATAGACAATAGCATTTTTATTTGATCTAGCTGTGTTGATGTGCCAAATGTTGATGCAGAATCCACAGATTTGTCAGACAAATGGATTTGATTGGTTAGTTCAGAAGGTGTTATACTGATGTTGATAAATGTGAACTGAATTATACAATGAATATTTTATCACAATTAATTCAAAATTTCAATTTTTCACAACTGCTTGACAAATTTTCAATGGTCCTATATGATGGTAACGATCGTAGGCGCCCTCTAGTATGTAGTAATAACGAAATCAATATAGCAATGTGTAATACCAGCCAGTGTAAACTCTATCGCACATCTGGTGATCTTGAAAGAGGTTGTCATGAGTATATTTTTAAAGATGTCTATTTACGCGTCTATTTTGGTCGATTATTATCGCCTAGGAATTATCGAATTAATACCAATAGTCTGACGTATAGATGTAATCAAAACTTTTGTGATGGAGATGATGCATTGAAGTATGTTGACAAATTGATTGAAGATGAAATGGAACAATTTACAATACATTTGTTGAATAAAGCAGATTTATTAAATATCCATCCACTTAGTATTTTGTCCGTAATCACAACCTTTGTAATAATTAGAGTGAGTTAGAGCCATGAGTCGAAGTAGTGAAATCGATTTAGAGCGCACAAAATGCACTAACGTAAAAGTATCGTCAACATACCTTCTCCGAAATCTTTTAGCAGAACAGACGTTTCATACCGGTTACGTAAATTTCGCGGCTACTTACTATCTATAGGGTTATTTAAGAGAGAAATTACTCTTCTTTTTAAAAGTTTATTTTGATTATTATGCTCAATACCTTTCTTAGAATAAGCGCTAAGTACTCAGAACTGATTTTGAATAGTTGAAGCTTGTTCTAAGTGATCTGTTGTGCCACAATATACTCGAGTTAATGTTACTGCATTTTTTCGAACTTCCTCTTCAAATAAAATGGTCCGTCACATACTAAAAGATAGAGAACTGATTTCTCAACAAAACTCACTATTTGAATTTCTGAGACCATTTTTCTTGTTGGACCACCATTGAAAATATTGAAGGATGATATGTCCGAAAATATTGAAATAAGAATTGTTGACTATGGAACACTGTTCTTATCGATAGAGTCATTATCAAAATGCTTGAGAGCAATTTGTTTATCTGGAATGGCAGTCAAGTGTGCAACGAGTTGTTACAGGCTTTCAGCCTTCACAGTTACATATATATATATTTTCCTTTCGTTTTCCTTTTTCAAGTGATATTCCTTTTTCGTTCGTCCATTTTACTACGCACATGTATGACTATACATATAGGACTATACATATATGACTTTTCTTTTCCTTTTTGGTCATTGTCATCCTTCACCTTTTTATTTCGTTGATACAGATAAATATATAGACGAACATTGTCATCGTTCGAGGAGTTCTTTTTCCTTTCGTTGTTTTATTTCTGTTTTTAAATAAACGTCGGATGATTAAATTTGAACTTCACACTATCCCCTAATACGAGTACACATGTTAGATTCAAAGGATGAGATAATACGTTTTTGTCTGAATTTTAATCATCACACGTAAGTGGATATTTTCGTTGTTGGTACAAAAAATTTACTAAAGAAAGAAAACGGTTGGAAAAGGTAGAAAGTGGTAAATACTTCTGTATAATAATCCCATGTATACATAACACATAATAAAATCTACCTGTGCATGGAGTACCTATTCCGCTGACTGACTTATCTGATGAAAGGACGTATACAACAATGAGACTGATGAAAATAAACGTAACAAAATGAAGAGAAAATACAGGTTAAAAAGAAAATACGAGTTTAACTTAATTATGTTGTATTATTCAAAGTCTCAGTCACAGCAGAATTTACTCGGGAGTAGTGGTCTTCTTCTTCGTTAGTTACAAAAGTTAGTTTATCGTTTTAATTAAAGTTCACTTTATTATCGTTTAGACAACGAAAATATACAAATAAAAATAGCAAAAATATAAATCATTTGAGCAAGAAATCGTATTCTAGAATTATTTGTTGCACTATTATATTGTTGGTCATCTTGACTTATTGATTTATCATAATCTGTCACTTTCTCTTTGGCTACCAATCTCATAGTATCTACAATGCCATCTAAATCAAATAAAAATAACAAATAAATCTTTTGTTAAGCGAGACTATTTTTTTAAGCGAATACAGACTTGTACAACGTATGTATTCGAGACTTAGACACTTTCAAATATCTATCAGTAAAAAAATATGTCAGTTCAGAGCAACTATACCAGAGAAATAAGGTATTTACCGAAACCTAAACGATGTTTCTGGTGGCTTCATATAATTGGATCGTTAAACTTAGCTAAGATCCAATTTCACTCAAAGTTATACTAAAATCACCGCTCGCATATCGTGCATCTATGATGGATGCTCTTTGATGTGGTTTTTCTTTTGGGCTTAGATACAGATTTTCTGAAGAATCGCCAATTTTTGAGGTATTTCCATTTTCTCGGTTAAGAAACGTTTTATTATGGAAATAATGTGAAATTCGGGATCAGTGTAAAAAACTGCATCGAATGATGTATAATTTGTTAGTTTTGCAAATAAAACGTTTTTTGATGAAAATATAGGGCAGGGGCATTTTTTATCGAATAAAGATTTATTTTCGAATTGTACTTTTTTTACTTCTATTAATATCTGACGCATAATAAGACTATATTATGCGAAAATAATCATTTTTTAACTCAAAAGATCAGATGTCCGCCTGCTCTACGGAAAAATGCCCACTGTGGGACAGATATTTTTTTAGTGAGAGACCACAAGATACTTTTTCTTTCTATCCCGTTCTGTTGCGTTCGAAGCTTTCTGATTAGGGACGTTCGATTCTCGGTTCCGAAACTGCCCATTGTCAAATTTTCTACGTGACTTGTCTCACCAAAACGAGAAAAAAAAATACGCATTTTGTTTCGTTTTTCATACTGAAAAACGGGTTAAAACGCGTTTTTTTATTTTCTCGTTTTGGTGAGACAAGTCACGGAGAAAAAATTGGCAATGGTCGAGAATCGCGGTTCTGGAACCGAAACGAAAGAAACCGCGGTTCTCGGTTCTCAGCTACGAAGTGGAAAATAATTTTTAGTCAGTAAGATTTCAACAAAATAAAATTTAATTTCATAGTAAACGAAAGGAGTCTTTTATAATTAAATTATATTATATATTATATTAAATTATATTTAGTAAATGATGACAGGCAAATATATCTTTTTGTAGCTTTGTCAATAGTGTGTTTTCATTTTATTAAAAACCAGGCAAGTCAGAAAGTCTCCGTTCCGCAAAAAAAAACGGATCGTCTAATAAACTGCGGTTCCGATTCCGGATAAAGAACCAAAAATAAGAGAACCGCAATTCCGGTTCTTCACAAGAACCGAGAACCGAACATCTCTATTTCTGACGCACACACACACACACACGCAGCACACTTACCGGCTTCTCGTCGACCTTGATAATTTTGCACAACTCGCCCGTTTCTAAATATTTTCAATGCTAAAAGTAATTTAATGACAATTAAAAATGCATTTACAATTTCGAAAACTATACAGAAACAACTTACTTGGGAATCCAAGAACGTTATATTTTCTACAGGTTATTTTTTCAGACATACAATCAACCTGGAAGAAAGAAAATTGTGCTTCTTTTTTTGAAAAACAATAAAATGAGATGAATATTACTTTTGCAAGTAGAACTGATTCATTACTTTCTATCAACCTTGAAGCTGCTTTTTCATATTCTGGAGCTAATCGCTTACAATAACCACACCTTTTGAATGATGAGATGAACAAAACAAGGTATAAATGTAGAATTCTTTCGCTGTACACACATACATACCATGGTGCATAGAAATTAACTAGTATCAAATTATGTTCTCTTATTTTTGTTTGGAAATTATTATCGGTAAAAACTTTAACAACGTCATTATGATGCATTAGAAATTTGTTACTATTTGCATTAGAAATATCGAATGATCCCAAAAGTATAAGTAGAATTCTGTACATGTTCAAATCAGGCAATTCAAATCCAAAAACGATAATGAATTTCGACCTTCTATTATAAAAAGTAACTATTAATAATAATCAGAGACAGATTAATAATGATAATAATAATATTTTTCTTCTCGTAGTTGATATACACTCTATTTTTTTTAATCATTGTATTGAGAGGAAAAGATGTCCCATTCCCTGAAGAAAATTTTGGTTTTTTGTATCGTCATGTGTACAGTATGTTACATTGAAAGGCAAAAAGCAAAAAGAACAGATACTCTTTCTTGTTTTCGGACGTCATTCGATGATATAAACGTTTATCTTTTGCTTTTAGTTTGTTTTTCAATCTGTCATCTTCTTGTCATTAGAGATGTAAATAAACAAAGAATTTGAGAGAAAAAGAGGACTTCTTTTTCTACTTTTCATGGTACGAGCTGCATAACATAATGATAAATCAAAAAATGTAGAGATTATTCTTCTGCTCCTTATACCAAAGAAGTCGCAATTACGTTTTATCTATTTAAAGTAGGCATGCACCGAGACGAGAAGTATCGAGAAGCCTCGATACTGTAGTCTCGAGTCTCGAAAGTCTCGAGCCTCGAAAGTCTCGAGTCTCGATAGTCTCGAGTCTCGAAAGCCTCGAGTCTCGAAAGTCTCGAGTCTCGAAAGTCTCGAGTCTCGAGTCTCGATAGTCTCGAGTCTCGAAAGCCTCGAGTCTCGAAAGTCTCGAGTCTCGAAAGTCTCGAGTCTCGAAAGTCTCGAGTCTCGAAAGTCTCGAGTCTCGAACGTTTCGATATGACCGAAGTTTTTTTTGTAGCTACTCTGATCACTTGTATAGGATCCTCTCATTTGCTGAGAAAATCGAGGAACCTGTTTTGTGTTGCAGAAATGTTTCTTATTTTAATAAGATGGGTGTAGGAAGACTTTTCTTCAGTCACTATGTGTGTATTTTACACATA